GACTATATTGAAAAATTTACGTTAAACTAGGCCAAAATTTTATTTGTGACCTTGATTTCATACTACAACCTGACAGTTCACAATCCAGAAAATATTGTCATAGGGAAAAACATTACGAGCCCCATGATTGCATAACTCTAAAAAATGAAAATCAGTTTTTTGCATGCAACTGTTTGAATACATATTTTAGATCGATGCCCGGTCGAGAAAAAATGTTAAATTTCAAAAAAAGAAAACTTTTTCTTACCTTTCTAGTAAATAAAATAAAATATGGATGTTTAAAAAACAGTTTTTTAATTATATCTTTCATAGTTTTAGTAAAAAGTGTTTCTTTGGTCGAAAAAATTTGTGGATCTCATCGAAATGCACCTTTTTTCTGCTAACCATTGTTATTTACATTGAGATTCTGATGGTCCAAAAAACAATAAACATTTAAAAACGACAAAAAAACAGGTTTTTGCCCATAACAGTGTAAAGTTAACATTACAACACAAAAGTTTTAGATTATTAGTAGAAATCTAGTATCCTCTTATTTTGATTAACTGAAAATAAAGTTATCAGCGATATTTAAGGGACAGTTTTAACTATTCATTAAATATTAATTGTAAAATATTATAAAGAACGATTATTTGATGGATAAACTTTGTTTTTATTTATAAGATGTAGATAAAAATTTTACCTAAATTTCTACGTATTTTTTAAGTACTTGTTTTGCACTCTAAAAATGAAACAAAATATTTCACTATGTGAAAAAAATTATTTTATATCACACTAAGCGTAAAGTTCGTACTGTTCTCCCTGTATACAGGGACAGAAACTGTGTAATAAGTGCGTGTACGCATGCGTATCTATATCTTACTGTATATTACTATATACATAAACCAATAAGTGCCTGAAGTAGTTCGGTGCTTGAACATAGCGAGGGCGCCACACTGCAATAAACAAACAAATTTGGGAAATATCAACAAGATGAAAGAAGCCAATGTACTGTTTGCTGGTGTATTTTATACAAAAAAAAAACATGAGATTCTGAACAAATGGAAATAATTAAAATTGTTATACAATTTTCTTTGTTCACACATTTTTAAATAATAACTGCATTTTTACAGTTCTTCATTTTTATCAATCTTGTATAATAAACTATTGAAATTATTACATTTCGAAACACATTCATTAAAAGAGTTAAATAATTAGGTCCTTGTTCTTATGCTTCCATTGTTAGAATCGAGCGTATGCATATTCATATAATGCTCTCGATTTTATGGGAAGTAAATTTTGAACAATGGCATTTTGTTCACAGTCAAAGTCTCTTCCTTCCCCTACTTTATCCTCGTTAAAGTTTTCTTCGTCAGAAGAATCCTCTTCAAACATGACTGTCGAAACTGTTGCCACATTTTATACAAAAATACAGGAATATCCTAAATATCACAATCGGAAACAATTATAAAAACTCTTGTGATATAACCTATAACCACACAATGAATGGCTTGTTTTCCTTCTATCTCTCTCCCTCTCAATGTAACGAACTTTCCACTGAGTGTGATATAAAAGTGTATACGCACCGCGAGACTAAAGCAAGCCAGCGAGTGGCTATTGCTTGTAGCACACTACAACAGCCACGAACTAGCTTGCTTTAGTCCCTTGGTACGTAATATACTATATTCTGTTACAGCTTATGTTTTAGATGTATGCGTGATCAAAGAAAGCTGTAAATCGATTTGTAAAGTGTGATCATTGTGGTTTAAATAGAAATAATTTACAAAATAATCTACAAAACTCTTGTAAAATATTTTTTGCTTTGGTAAAAATGTAACAGTCATGTATTGGCACTCAAATTTATTTTATGCATAAATTTAGCTGCTTGTTTCCTCTTGGCCTTCTGTACCTATCTGATTGTAATCAAAAGCTTAGGTGCTTATAAATTAAATATTCGTGAAACTCAATTTATAGTTAGTAGTAGTTGTTTTTTATTCGATATTTATATGCTTAACTGTTTTTCAAAGCAAAGTGCCATAAAATTTAAGTTATACTGTTTAAAAAATAGTTATTTCTACTATTCAGTTTAGTATTTCAAAATACTTTTTCCAATTGATCTATGAAAAGCTTTATCAAAGCTTTATTTATTTTTTTAAATTAACAAGACCAGTTACAACAGCATTTTATGATAGTAGATGGTTTAAATACTGATGAATACAAACTTCCTCTATACTAATAATCTACCGTTATTTGTAAATTTTTTAAATCATGATTCAACTTACAAGTACATTTTAACAAACTATACGCATGATGTTATGGTGTAGGTTTAGCGTGAAAAATATTTTTCACATTTGTTAATATATAGATCAATATTTATAGCTACTTATCCAATGTATCATTTACTACGTGAGCCGCATTTCAAACCATATTGTTTACCTTGTTTACCTTTGTCTTTTTTAGTTTTATTATTTTCAATCAACATTTCATTATACTTCTAAGTAATACTAACACGTGTTACTCATAAAGCTCTCAATATTCAGAGGTTCACGTTGAAGTGGATGAAAAAAGGTAATCCACTGTTTTTGGGTGACCTAAATATTGAATCTGCGAATGTACATTAGGGGTATAACAATAATCCATGGTTTATAATTCACCAGCAACATTAGTGTGCACGAAGCTTAACACAGCAAAGCCAAATGGATTTGCGCGTAGCTCATATAATTTTATCCAGTGTGAGTGTACATGAGTGTATAAACGCTTGCAGACACCTATAATTTTATTAAGACTTTGATGCTTCTCGTACTATTTCAAGCTTTTGACAGATTCGTCAAAAATTCACAAACAGGGTTTGCGGTGTTGAATGCATTTTGACAGAACACTACAGTTTTTCCATAGATTTTCTAGCTGATAGACGTAAAAACCGTAACGTCTTAAATTGTCAATCAAATCAAAAAAATACTCGTTTCGCATACAATATGATTTATTTATATCATGATATATATAATAATAACATAATTAATATTGTAATTCTTTTCTTTTCTTTTTTTTGTGCTTTTATTCCTATGAAGACAAACTGATATTCAAATTTATGGAGCAACTAGTCAAGAAAACGTGACGTAAAATTTTGCAATGGTGATGGAAGTGGACGTAAGTTGATTGAGCACATTCATAATAATTGATATCGTAATGAGTAGGCACTTTTTGTTCTATTTCGCGGATTACCGAAAAATCTAATGCTAACAACGATCAATACACGATAGACTTGCTCATGAATTTTCAGTTCATCAGAGGCTTTTAGTCCATCGAGCAAGTATGGAGGAATCTTTGACATTATAACGATTGATGGAGTTACTTCTTTTATTTTTGTGCCTAAGCGTGTAATTAAAATACCACAATAAAATAACAAGTATTTCACATTGAAATGTAGTCCCTGCAACTCGTTGCAAGTGCCCGCCAGCGTTTCAGTCTGAAATGGCAATATTTATTTCAATCCACGTTGAACACGGAATCCTCGCAATTCCGGGTATTCGTCTCGTTTCGATGAATCACTGCTGCGATTGCATTGTTGAGTATTGATTGACCCCATCCTCCCATTTTACGGTATGGATGTCTTTTTAACTTTTGTTTTATAAGCCAGCAAATTTAAACCCCGTACTAGCTGTGATTGTCTTTCATTGTATACTATACGTTAATTGGGAGTGTTTTTTTGCTAACGATGCAAATGGTGTTAAAAAGTTGCTTGGATGGAATTTCGTAACAAAAACTTTCTTTTGACACGTAAAATAAGAGACTATCCCATCAATGAGAGGGGGAATTTTTTTTTTTTTGAGAAGAAATGGTTAACTCTCTTTTGAAAACTACGAGTGATGTCGAAAGTCATTTAAAGAAAAATGGGACGCCAGACAGAAGAATTTTTTCGACGAATTTCCAATTATCAGCATAAAATAATACAGATAGAGGATGAGAACGAAAATTACCTTGACAACCACAGAAAAGTGGACTGGAAATAAGCTTTAGCGCTAGTTTGCCATCCAAACACTTATTATCCATCGAAATCATCGGGTAATTAGTCGTGTACACGCGTACTCGTACTCCATCCCATCTCATATTCATTTTCACGTGATACGCTATTAATCCCTTGTTCAATCACTGCACAATGAAAAGCCAGCTTCCATCCCCTTTACCTTTGTCTGCGTATAACACATCCTGATTTATGGGATTATGGTTCCTATTTCTGCGCGGAATATTAGTTTTTCCTGTGGGAGGCTTGAACGACTCAAGATAATTACGAAGGGAGGAAGCGCCGATTCCTTAAAAAAAGGCTAATATTTCCTTCAAAACCTTTGTACAGTGTGACTACACTTTATAAATACAGAGGCTTATGAGTACTCGTATCACGCAGTACACGTACGTTTTGTACTATTATAACATCGTAAATGAATGAACGATCTAGCCAAGTTAATCACGCATGCATGTGGATTATTACCAAAAGGATGAGAATATAGAAGGGATTTAACAGGTGAATACGTGCTTCGCTGTGATAGTCGGTAATTGTCAACGCACATCACGTACAAAAGAGCAAGGGCATTCGTTTTAGCTTATTAAACGTGGCACTGACACAGGTGTATGATGTCTGATGTAAATTACTTTGAAGGGAACAACGTAAATATTCATGAATGAGCAAACAAATTTTCAAACATATTAAAACTACCTTTATTCGTTGTAGACATCTCGTATACGTGATAAGCCTCAGATCTGACTGATAAACATGGGGTATATTGATAGATCTTGATAGCTCTAACATGAAAAAACCGTGTTTTTATTTATCAAAAAATGTATGTATAGCAATATTAAATACTTAAGTAGGCTATTTCGATATGATAACATATCAAAGGGTTGCTACTATACCACTTTAAAAACTTTAATGAGTATTACAGGGAATATTAAGTAAATAAGGAACAATTAAAATCCAAATCATTTCTCGAATAAAAGCACTTTAGCATATATTTTTCATTATTTTGCAGGTGAAATGAAGTCGTACTCGAACGATTGTTCTCGCTGATCCAAGTAAGTTCTTTAAATATATTTATTACAATTAAGATCACTTTAACTAAGACTTTTCAACATAAATTATTGGATACCAGAAAAAAGACTATTATTACTCGATGCATCAACTAAAAGTCATTAGCAGACGCACCTTTTTTTAGTAGTTTACCTTTATCTCAAACTATTTTAAATATTTGGGGAAGGAGGTACAAAATGATCCCTCTGTAGAAAAAAATTTTTCTAGTACGAAGTTATGGTTTTTTTTTCTTTCTTACTATGATATGTACTACAACTATTACCCTATCACCTACAGATGTAGATAAAATCATTTCTTGGTATGCGCGAAACAATTTATTTTTTTCCAACAGTTTTATATGGTACCCTTTTCTAAGTTTCTGTCCTTTATCATTGTACATAGGGTCAGTAATATTTTAATAGCAAACTTTGAACTTGAAAGCTCGAGTTGATTGGTTAACTTCAGCTTTATAACATTTGATTATTTTTTAGCCTAATACACACCCTACGTTTCTTATTTCATCGTTTTCTACACGTTAAAGACGTTCCATTGTCTTATAACGAAACAGTAAACTACATTTTTAGCATCTTTCATCTTATCTCATGTATCTATACCACCAAGTAATATTTTTTTTTAATGTTCATTATATAACATTTATACAAACTGTTTTCTTAAATGTAGGAATGTAATGTTAAGACACGAATTAATTTTCCTCTTTTTTATTGTTATTTTATTCAATATCTCATGACATGATTCGTTTGCTCAACAAAGACATAAGACACGTGACCAGCGGGCTAGCCTCGAATAATAAATTTCAATGAAGGAAAACCCTTATTGAATTGGCTAGTATATAGGAATGTGTGATCTCGGTATTCACATCACTTTGTGTTGGTCTAAGCTTAGTCCTTACAAAAGGTTAAATCAAAACCCGAATAATGAAATGTTACTCCAAAATATTTAAACAAGTAGTGAATACTTTAACTGTACGGGAGTAACAAGTTTTTATAAACCTTTAAAATATAATCATTACCTCGAATTATCTATGAACAGAAGAAATATTACACAACTACTATACGCCAAAATCGATATAACATTGGACAAAGACGAGGAAAACATAAAATCTCTGATGGAAACGCAAACGCGTAAAGCTAATAATGTGGACGCACTTGATCGTGACAGTAAATTGGCTCGATTAATAGACTCCACGTGTAAACAAACTTCCGTCATTTTTCGTACATCGGAGAAAACGGGCTTTTAGTTTATAGCTACGACTCCATTATCTTAATTCTCCTTTACGATAGAGGGTGGAAGGCGACTTTGACCTTCCTTAAAGCACGTTCATGTCTGGTGCTCCTTCACTAACTCTATCTCTGTTTCCTCAGCTTTTTTTAATCTGTTCTCTCCTAAAAATGATATTCAAAATTCGAAATGAGCCGATAGTGTCAAATAGATTCGAATAATCATTAAACTTTATGAATTAGAGGAAAAAGGTAGCAAAATGAAGTATCTTTAACCGTCTTTTCACGAACATTGTTTATATTTTTGGTATTCATAGATGGTATCTTTTTTTTTAGTTTTTTCAAGTGATTTACGTAAAAAAACTCTACAGATGATAAGGAGTCGCCTTTAAATCGACCAAAAGTACACATACATTTAAACTAAAGAAGATCACCTCATTCATGTGTATACATTAGTTCCTATCTTTGTAATCGAGTTACTTTGATCGTCTTTCTCTAGCTTTCGACTCCTATCACTTGTACTTTATTATTTATGTCTACGAATAAGGTATCCCCTTTTGATTTCCAAGTCAAATATTTGTACCTACCATTTTCCATGTACATACCATTTCCTGTTATTAATGTCTTCTTAAATTTTTATAAATTCATTTGATTCATTTTTTGTTTGTTTCAACATTTAACCTCACCGTTAATTATTCTTTTTTTTTTTTTGCTTTTTTCGCTAAGTTTTTATGGCTTAAATATTCGTACTATACTTAAAAGATCTGTGATTAGCTATCTGTCTTTTTCATATTTTTATCTGTGTCTCTGAGGCTAGATCATTGTCCTTGTGTTACTGTGATAACCTATTCTAGATGATTTTTAACTTTTATTTAAGTTAAATAACCACAACCACACTAAGATTTTGGAATTGAAGATTTTACAAAACGATAACAAAAAATTAACATCAACTCCTTAAAAATGTGTGTCCACTACCAATGAATATTCATTGATTCCTAAAAAATAAAAAATGTTGGCTTAATACTTTGGACACATGTTATCCAATTGGTCAGTGTACACATATATACCTACGCACAAACAATTTTTCCAAACGACGAACATGTATATTTTAATATTGTTCACGATAAAACTTGTTTTAAACATAAGCGTAACCAAACTATTTTCTACACTAATCCGAAGCCCTTTCTACGAGGAAGTGAAAAATTGGAAAATTACTAGATACACTATGAATACAAAGTACTCATCACTTTTATAAATCGTTATTCGAACGTCGCATACAGCCATGAAATTTCGCAATCGCATGGGCAAGTGTCTTTGGTGTCTATAACGACGCATTATAAGAAAGGAAAATCGAGGGGGAAATGTCGTGTCATAAAGATTCATGCGCTGGAAACGAGAGAGCGCAGGATCGACTCTTTTATTCTTTATTCCGCACGTTGTGCTTACAACGTGACTTATATACTTTCCTCGAAATGTGACATAACTAACGATATATAAACTTATCCCCGCCTTTTTCACTTTATCGAGTCGTTTATCTTTTTCTCTTCCCTTCTTTATTAAAAGACTTATCGGATGACGTAATCGGTCATTTTTAGGAGCGTACAGCACATAATATAGCTGTACATGAGTGACTTTATCCGTACACAATAGTTGAACTATTGAAAATAATAGTCTCCAATATTCTAATGATATAGTGTGGTGTTTAACAACTTGTCCATCATCTAAGTGTATTTGATTCATGATAAAACAGTCAAAAGAGAGCCACATTAGATTATGATGTACTCTTACTCTGTCTAAGTATATTGATATCTTTATCTTGTTTTTGTCGTTAATCAAACATTTGAGTAATATACACATATTAATATATATCATAAACTAGTTTCAACATGCAGTTGTAGTGTTGCTAATAGATCGTAAATAATGAAAAGTCAATCGAGTATCGAATGAAAACAAGAATTTTTCTCAGCATCTTTTTGATAGTAAAAATAATAATAATCATGATATCAATAATAATAATGATAATAATAACTGTTATTATAATGACAGTAATAACAACAATGAAATAATTACTACACTGATAATAACAATAATAACAGTAATGACAATCAAAATAATATCTGTACTATATTTACTAAAAAATGTAGATACTAGAAGACAAACTCTTAAAAAGTTGAATAAATATGAAATGAAAATTTATTAGTAGCAGAAAATAATCTTTTCGAACTTTATTTTTTTTAAATAAATTGTGCTGTAGTCAAATAACTAAAATTTAATAAAGAAATACGATTTTCTATAAAAGAGTAAAAATGGTAGATTTTGTCACAAAAGTGCCATCACCTCTTGAGCTGTTGTGCGGCCCGAGAAACCGCAAGGTAGCCCCGTATGGGGGTGTGTCAAACACTGTTTTTCTTACCGACAGCATACCTGACCCTTAAAATCGCCCGAGGTAGGAAAGTAAATTTTAAGTTTTTAAAATAGGAGATAACATCGAAATAACATAAAGTTAACGGATCAACTCAGAGTTTCGGAGGAATTAATCAAACGAAACTTACATATCCTATTTATTAATTTATTTATTTAATTATTTTTTTTTTTTTATGCACAAGTCTCGAATCGTGGCATGTCAACCTGCACACTTTGTCGTTCGTAAATTATGTGCTCGAGAAAAGTGGTTTTATATCCCTGATACTATTATTATCGGTGGGACCTCGGTTTGATATAAAAAAAAGCTGTTAAAATACTTTGAAAGCTCGGGCGTTTTCACGATTGCTTTTTAGTTTATTATGATGAAACGCGGCTTTTATGCACAGACGTGCTGATAATCGTCAAGCACTCGTCTCGTCCCTGCTCCTCTTACGTTGCGGTAATTTTGAAGATAACATTGATTATGAGCCATCCATTGTACGGAATTCCATTTTTCCATTCCTTTTAGTAGCCACAAAGGACCATGAGAAATTGAAAACCAACGCACAAGCGAATGTCTAAAAATAGTAGTTTTCCTACGAGTTTGAAAAGTCTTTGTTTGCGAACCGAGAGGTTTGCGGCCCGAACCGAAGGCGAGGTCCGTAACGAGGTTCGTAAAGGAGACTTTTCGAACGAGTTCCGGAAAACTGCTTTTTCGCCCGAGGAAGTACCAGCCTCCCAAAACCACCCGAGGGCAGAAAAATCGATTTTCCACACCAATATCAGTGCGGAAAACACCTATTTTCCGCACACTTATTGCGAAAAAACAAGTACGCAACTCATGCGGGACGATTTTCCACCCTCGTGTGATAGACTCGCACTCGTGGCTGGTGATGGTAACTCGTACCTTGCAATCACACTCGTGCTACGCACTCGTTTGCTCAACTAGCACTCGTTCCCGTCAACTCCGGCCACTTATGCGAGTCAATCACGACTCGTGCGGGAAATCGTCTGTTCCGCACTTGTTACGTAAATAACTATTAAAATCACTACTTCATTTTTTATTGGAATTCGTCAACCTCGGCAAACAGCTCAATAAAAAAATCACCTTTCACACGAAGCTTTAACTGCAACGACTTCGTGAGTCATGACTTATTCAGTTTTTTTTTATGAATGTGCAATTATTGGCCCTTGAATCTCAGGTTAGTTTTTCTCCTTTCTGGGTGCAATGAATAGCAGAAATAACAGAGTTTTTCTCCCACCCTCTCGAGAAATTTCAAAAAACTGTGAAAGCTTTGCAGCCTAGCCAGAGCTTTTTCTCGAGATAAATGGCCGAGGGGAGAGAAAGAGTACACGTACATTCC